CCCCGGAACATCCCACCGGGACCGGCCCCCCCCGGAACATCCCACTGGGAACAACCCACCGGGAACAACCCACCAGGACCGCCCCAATCCCCCGGAACATCCCACCAGGACCGGCCCACTGGGAAGATCCCACTGGGACCAGCCCCCTGCGAACAGCCTACCGGCACTGGCCCCATCCCACCGGGATCAACCTCCTAGGAACAGCCCACCGGGAACATCCCACTGGGACCAGCCCCCCCAGAAACATCCCACCTGGAACAACCCACCGGGAACATCCTACCGGCCCCGGCCCCATCCCACCGGGACCTACCCCATCCCACCAGCCGCATCCCACCGGCACCACAGAATCCCAGAATGCGTCAGGTTGGAAGGGATCACAGTGGGTCGTCTGGTCCAGCCTCCTTTGCTCAAGCAGGGTCATCCCAGAGCACGTGTCACGAGATTGCGTCCAGAGGTTTCTGGAATATCCCCAGTGAGGGAGAGACTCCACACCCTCTCTGGGCAGTCTGTTCCAGTGCGCGGTCACCCGGTACGATGAAGAAGTTCTTCCCCATATGCAGCACAGGGCCCCATCCCACTGGGACCATCCCATTGGCCGCGTCCGCGTCCCACCGGGACCAACCCCACCCCACCGGGACCGGCCCCCCAGGAACATCCCACCGGGACCAGGCGGCCTCGCAGCCTCTCCCCCGCGTCCCCCGGGTCCGCTGGTCTCGTTCTCCCTTCCCCCGCCCCGGCTGTGTGTCCGCCCTCCGCGGCCCAGGGCAGAGCCGCCGACCCCCCGGTAGCGGAGCAGAGACCAGCCCGGCACAAAAGCGTTTATTCGGCGCAAGGCAGAAGCGGGGGGAGCGCCCTGCATCCTTCCCTCTTTTCCCGCGGGGCAGGATGACCCCATCCCTCCTCCCTCCACGGCCTCCCTACGCCCACCCCGCTCCAGCCGCTCCCGCGGCGCTCTGCGGTCACTGCGGGCTGGAGCAGCGGTGGGACGAGGGATGGAGGCAGGCGTGGCCTCACAAGGAACGGCTGCTGCTCCAGGCTATCCTGCAGGGACACCTTCCACTAGCCCAGGTTGCTCCAAGCCCCATCCAACCTGGCCTTGGACACTTCCAGGGATGGGGCAGCCACAGCTTCCCTG